GACCTCTTAGGTTAGTGTTGTGGCTCAGTTGCAGCAGCGGACGGCAATTGTGGTTTGGGTTCTTCAGAATCTGGTAAACCATTATGAGATCCCCTCGCAAAAGGCGATATCGACTGCTGTACATTCTTAGAGATTTCAGTCTAAGCTGAGGGCAGATGAAAGAGGCCCCTGATGTTCTTGGTTGCCCTTCGTTGAGGAGTATCGAGAACAACGAGATCCTATTTCTTTCACGGCTGCCACGCCTGAATAGCATATTCCACGTGCGGTCGCACGTAGGCGTTAAGCATTTTGGGAAAGATTGAGGGTTCAAACCGACCAAATGCTCTGCGAAACAGGCTGAAGTGTTGATTGCTGGTTCTCGTCGTCTTCTCTGCTTGTTTTGAACACCCGAGATCTTCCTGTACTAATACACCCAAGTCGCTCCTGAGAGGCCTTCTCGAAGGTGTGGTCCTCAAGCTTGTAAGCGCTCACCGCCTGGTGACGCAGATGAATCACCTTGCACTTAGCTATGTTCAACTGAAGCAGGTTCCTCTTTGATCACTCATAAATGCAATCTAGGTCATGTTGGAGTATATCGTGATCTTCATTGTTACTAATCACCCGCCATATCTTGACGTCATCGGCGAAAAGCAGGAAATTCGAGGAGATAACTCTTGTCAGGTCGTTGATAAACACCAGGAATAAGCGCGGTCCCAGCACTGAGCCTTGTGGAACCCCACATTCTGCTTCAATCGGGTTAGAGAGTGATCCCCTAACGCGTACTTGAAGCTTCCGTTGGTGAAGAAAGTTGCCAATCCAACCAAGAACAGGATCTGAGATTCCGTAGCACTGTAGCCCGTGAAGTAGGATGTGGTGATTCAGGCGGTCGAAAGCTTTGGAGAAGTCCAGATACATGACGTCAACTCCGACCCCATCATCAGCCGCTTCTGTCCAACTACCTCGCGCATGACCGATGTTGACGGAAGCCATGCTGCTCCAGTGCCAAGATGTTGCATTTTTCCAGGTAGTCCATTAAAGTCTCAGCGATGACCGCTTCCATCACCTTCGCGAGCACAGGGAGGAGAGTCACTGGGTGATAGTTTGCAGGATCTGAACGGCTGCCGCCTTTAAAAATTGGGTGATAATGCCACGCTTCCACATAATGGGGACTTGTTGTTCATCAGAGCACCTTTGGAAGAACTGCGACAGTGATTCAGCTGGCTTGTTGGCTGCAGCCTTCAGTGCCTTCGGGCGAATGTTGTCTGCACCCGGGAAGCTATGATCGCGCAGTAAGAATAACTTCCTCAGCACAATTTCTGGGTTGAAAATTACATGTGTAAACAATGGAGTCGGTAATGTTCATGACATTATGGGACAGGTAGAGGCTGCGAGTTCGAAAATTGTGACGTATTGTATCCGCAGGGCATTAGCTGCTTCTTCGGCACCTTGTATTCTACTGCCTGTCGTGAAAAGTGGAGGGATTCCATGCTTCACTTTACGAAAATTGTTGATATGCCTATACAGCAGTATGTTGTTTGCCAGGAACTTTTTGGCTAGGCACTGTTGAAAAGTTACTTTGTCCTCACGGACAAGTGCAGTGCAATGGTTGCGATGGGTCAGGAAATTACTCCAAGTCTCTGAGTCGGAGTTAATCTTGTAGGCACACCATGCTGCATCCCTTATCGCCAGACATTTTCTAGTTCTGCTCGTTAGAATTGAAGGCATTTTCGCGGGACGAAGGGTCTTGGTTTCTGATGCTCTGTTGGCGATGTCGCTGAGTCTATCAACGAACTCTGTCCAGACGTTGTCAAGGGGACTGTTGTCTGAGAATTCCCAAGTAGATTCTTCTACGAGCTCCTTCAGTACGTGGTAGCGTGTGATTGAATGAGTTAGTTCTGAGTGTTCAGATGGATCCTCTGCATAACACATAGTTGAACGTTATTACTACATGGTCACTGAGATCTAGTGGACTATCCAACAATAACTTGTCAACCATGAGCTCTTCATTCGCGAGCACAAGGTCCAATATGGACGGTTTGTTTGCTTCCTGAATCTACTGGGCGTGGTGGCATGATTGTACAAAGGTATATTAGCGATAACTTCATGAAAGTCTGCTTTAAACGGCTCACTGGGTGATGCCGAAGCATCCAGATCGTGTAGGTTGAAGTCCCCGGAGATAAGAATGTGGCTGTACCTAGTGCGCGTTACTCTGTTCTGGCCACGCATCAAGCGGGAATCCATTTCCGTAGGGGGCGGTAAACGACAGCTACGAGACATGCGTCGTTGTGTCTTAGTCGGAGACGGCAAGAGAGTGAGTCGGTAACATGAGTTTTCAGATCATCAGCTATCGCACATTGCAGGTCGCTGCGCTAGTAGAGTAGGACCCCACCTTCTCTACTGGGGCGGTCGTTCCGGATGAGTGAAGTATCTAGGCGTACTGTCACGCTATTTGTAGTCTGTAGACGACCAGAACAAACTGCACCGAAGCGGAGTGTGCTCGTTTTGTGGGCTCTAATGCAGCCTTTGCATTTGATGTGAATAGACTGCCACTCGCATCTTAAATCATATAGCCAGTACTAGAGCACACCTCACCCGCCTATTGCCTGATTACCCTTGGATAGGTTTGGAAACTAAAACGGATTCAGAATCTTGCTTGATGGTTCATCCCCATTTTACAGAATAAGTTGTAGGAAGACCGATGCAGGAGACTAGGATTGTATACCTTATGCTATCGTCGGTTTAGCATGGGTCTCAAAATGGCGCACTGGATATTACTTCTGGATGACTTCCCCCTTCTCTACACGCAACTAGGAAGCAGCACATGCGGGCACCGGTAAAACTCCGTATCATTAGCTTCGAAGTGGATAACTCCCCCTCTGTGCTTCAAGCGTCTAATCGTGAAATACTGAAGCAGTTTTCCAGAGACAGTTGTCATAGCAATACCAGGGTCTTAATTTAAGAAACTAGATACAAACTTTGCGGAGTACGTACTTATTGAATGTACCACACCTGAACATTACATCCTGTAGCCATAGTAGGTTGTGAATGCGCGAGAATTAATGGCCATACTCTGCGTGCTCGAGTGATCAAATTTCCACTAATTAACGCAGATTTACATCGTCTCCATTTCCGTTTACGGTAATCACCGTTCATCAAAAGGTGTAGACTGAACAGGCGCGTAAATAGCAGCTGATGGGAAGACAAAAGAGTTGATATATGTCACATTTCACGACTGTTGTACAGCCCAAGACTACCCAGGAGAGTGTCAGCTTTCAACATACCCTATTCTCATATTGGAATATGAGCATTTCACTTTATATCAATTGTTTATGTAAGCATATCATGTAGTAGGCACAGATAATGTGATTAGCGATGGCTTCTAGTGGTAAAGTGTTTTGCATCCCACTTCTAAGTGGTCATCCCATAATTGACTGCGACATTCTGCTCGATACTAAGCTTAGCTTCACAGTGCAACCCCTTATGCGCAATATGGCGCTTCCACTCCATTGCTTTATTGATTTCCGTGCACGTTCTACTAATTAAATTCTTCACCTTGACAATGCATAGCCTCACGTCCGGCTATAGTTAATTCCTGAACAAAATCCAATCAGAGCGAACCACGGAAGAGAAGGAACAGTCGTCTGAGCGCGCTTTGCCTCCACTCATTCGAGCTGCACTCATTTATAGCAACACATCAAATGGAATTAGTACAAGTTGACGTTGGACATTAATATGAATATTTCACTTATAACTTCCGGCTGCTTCGAAACCAGACTCAGTCAGATAATTATTTCACAAAAAGCCAGTTTCGTCTTATTGGAGCTCATTGGTAGCGCATCTCGGTCGGATACTGTTGGATCCGAAACCAAGCTTTTACTACTAGCAGCCAACGCTCTTAGCAGCTTACACTTCTCCAAAAACCAGGAATCGTGTGAGTAGCTTGCATACTACTACGATTGTTGATGACTCAGAAGGGAAGTCATTAGACTGGAGACCAACATCTTGCTCTGCAGGTTCTTAATATGCGTCCCCGTTGTATCGCGCTTAATATTCAGCCAGGGCAGTCCGCCACCGTCAACCATGGCTCATTAGATTGATTCACTAGTTCGTACGAGTAAAGTCATGGCTTCGGATCCAGGAAGATCCGGCGGAGGCGCTACGAATGAGCCCCCATACGACGAGGAGGTTGTCTAGCCCCACGCCGAGATCTTATGGAAAGAAACTACTTCACTATTATCTCACACACCTTGTTGTGAAAATACGTGTGCTATTAGCAATCCGTCGTATCACTTTACGTCCCTATGTCAAATAACCCTGCAAAAATGCACCACAAACTCCAGTGCGTGGGCTATGTGACACAGCGCTCAATTCCTGCCCACAACATAGCAGGATCTAAAAATTCGGAGTCAGAGCACCACTGGGCTGAAGTGGACACTGTTCTTTCGTAAACCACCAGTCCTACGTGGTGATTCATCTCATCCACAAAATGAAGCATTGCTCCGACTCTGATTCGGCCTTGGTGGATCGTTAAACAGCTTCGTCTTCTCTTGTCTTTACGGGTGGTTGAGAACCGTGTAGACACGTGGCACTGCGTCGTTTAGCCGGCTGCTGCGTGTCCGTCTGTCTCTCGCGCTAGTCCTCCGGTCGTGTGCGTACCGTTGTTCGTTTTCGAGGACAGCATGTCACCCGACTACGCGTGTGAACAGGGACCGTGCTCACGTTGCGCGTAACTCTCGTCTAAGCTAACGCGACCAGGCCTGCGCAATCCGTTAAACCTACTCAACTTAGTTAAGTCTGGAAGGTGGTACCGAGAATATGTGCTACGCAGTCATCGGTTCCAGCAATTCAATTGCTGTCAGAGTAAATCCGATTCGGTTGAGCCTGCCAGAAATGTAAGCTAACCCACTCACACCCAGCTAAACTAAATATTGAGCTGAGAATCGCGATTTTTGTTGAAATGATCGTGTGCCGTTAAATTACCATCTTCTGGTTCCAATGCAATCAGGCGTACTGACACTTACCATCAAGAAGCTGTTTCCGGGCCAAAGTGTAGACCAACCATCGGGGCACTTGGGAATCTCCAGTGTTTGTGCGTGGAAGGCATAAAGCTGCGGAAAAGTGTAACGAACATACGAGTAGTTAACAAGAGTAACTGTGCAAAGACATTTCAAACAAAGCATGGCATGCGGTAGCGAATTGTGAATAAGATGATTATCAAACTCAAATGATCAGACGATAGCAGATGTAGTACAGAAGTTTAATTCCGTCACCTTACATCCGCTAGTCCCCTAAACCCGGATACAATTCATCCACGATACAGAGAAGTGGTAGTCGAGAAAAACAAACCATCGCCGCTTCATCTACGGTTGGTAATCTTACTGTCAGCTTTCCAGTCTATTTACTGGTGGTACAGGGCAAACCACTGTACTTCAATATGGACAGGCCAATGGGTCTGCTGAAGCTTGTAACGAAATGCTTGTATGTCAACTAGTAACCCCAGGCCAGTGGCTGAAGTTCCAGTTTAGTGAGGTGCACAAAGCTTGACTCTTATTGGGGCTTCGCACTGGTGCACTCCTCTTAGTGAGTACAATAAGCCGTCTCATTGCCAGTGTATGCGCCTCTCACATGCAATCAGGCGTTATCCGTGGTTCTCCAATCACAGTATATAATGAACTGTTTATCAGGAGTAATTTTGAGTACATGTGTTAAGATTGGGATCCTACAAAGTCAGAAATCAGGCCTTGAGATGTTCATCTATTCGCCGAACTGAACAACTCGATTACAAACGTTTCGTCACTAGTCCAGGTGACATCTTCAGTGTGGAATGATGACAATAGCTGTGTGGAGTGCAGTTCTTGATCTACCAAGATGATTGCTACTGCCGCAACTAGCACATCACAAATCTAGCGGAATTTCGATCAAACTGTTTCAGAGCCTTATCGGTACTGTCGTCAAGTGGCTACTCAGACTGTGCAGGTAACAAATAGCTGAGCTTTTCTTATTGTTACTGCTGTTATGTGCCAAATCAGATCGCGCAGACCCCGACTATGCTCTCCTCAGTGACTCAGTCGTATCTACGCTCTCAAGCCACAGTGATCCAACACAGCTCTGCTCAGGATACTGCTGTATCTAATGTCCCAAACCACCCTGATTTCAACTGAGTTTTCCTCTGTGCACTAACACTACCTGGCAACTCATGGGACTTACTAACAGGTACCTTCCCCTATAGTTTATGAATTACGCCGTTATACTACTGTTATAAACACGTAGGTTTAGAAGGCATTTTCGTCTTTGTCTGAGTTAATCAACAAACCTGCTAACGGCCAGTCTTTCTTTTCTGGGTCTCAGCGCAGTCGTGCATGACGTGCTGGCGTGTTCACACGTCTGGCGACTAGATCCATAGGCCGTACCGATCCGGATTCATTTGGTTCGTCTGCGTCTGGTTTACAGTCAGTACCATCGCTCCGGCTAGGAGTCGAAACAACCGGGGGTTTTATGACAAAAACCCAATTGGCATAAAAATGACACTATATTTATGTGGTATATAGCTTCTCCGTTAGCTCTTATCTCAGGTATTCGCTGTACTATTCGCAGTGGAGCGATCACCCGGCCTATAGCTGTGTCATGCTGTCTGTGTGTATGTTGCTGAGATGCGGCCGCGCGGTCACGTGACGTGCCTTAATTAAGTAGAAGTGTGAGGGGCAGGCTTGTGGAGAACGCCGTTCAGGATGGGTCAACTGGCTTTTCAGATTCTCCGGAAAACTATTCAGTTTAACTAGTAACACGAACTGCACTTGTGACTATTGGTGGATGGAATACTTCAAAACAAAAGCTATTCACAAAATGAAACTTCTTTTTCTACTTAATTGCATACAGACCTAGTAACTGCCGACTGCACCGTGTTGGAACCCGTCATTGGCTTTGTGTTCCCTAGTGTGTGTCAGGTAATGCCGTTCAAATTTTGTAAGGTCTCTGTGTCTTTGTTGGAATTACTGTTAAAAGGTTGACTGAATCCACGACCCGCGTATGATTGTTTACATTAAAGTGTGACTGGAAATTCAAGCCCTTATTATCTGCCTGTATCGGAGCACAGATTTACTGCAGTTTTTTCACGCTCATTGACCCTGTTATGGTTAAAATCCGAGTCTACAATGACTTACCAGCTTCCAAAGCCTCTCATGCCGCTTCTAACTTGATCTAAACACGCTAGGTGGATGTAAGGGAATCAATGCATGTATCGTTATGTTGAACACAGATAACTTGAAAGGTTATCTAACTAGCCGTGTGAGGTTGGCCTGAGTTGTTCGCTTGCGTTTGTTTTCATCTGTTCGAACACCCCTAAGCAGTGTAACTGCATAGCTATCTCAAACCCAGTAGCCTTACTAAATTTCTGGGTACTGTATATCATGGTACCTGAAAAACATCATTTGTGTATCCATGGGTTTACTTATGTGGTTCGAGATAGATAGATATTTTAAACCTTCCAGAAGTGGGAGTACGAGCTTCCCCAGTTCGGTATAGAGCCCATACTATATTTCTACTAGACACATTCAGATATTGGTTAAAAATTGAAAAATATCTCCCGATCATCGTAAGTCATTGGTCTGATACGCCAACGTGCTCTGTTTGTATCATATTCTATGGGTGGTTATATCGAGATAAATACGTTACCCATGAACCTGTTTCCACGTGTAATCGTATTGTGCATCCGTTTACCTCAGCAGCGTAACTGAGTTCTCTCATCCTTTTTACCGATATTCCCCTAGGACACGGCTATCTTCACATGTACAGTCTGTGTTGTATGGCTGATAAACTAGCGAATCGCAAGTTGAAGCGCCCACTGAATTCGACCTACGACCACTGACACCGACCACTCTTGAGCCATGTAGAGACATTCCCACACAAGTGCTCAGTAATGCAGTCATCATAATGTAACCTTCATTCACACGTACTGCCTCCATCAAGGGACTCGGGTAATTAAGAATACCGCATAGGCTCTCTTTGCTTTTCGGAGCATTACGTTCTCTGATGGATGTTTGCGTACTCCGTACTCATCGAAGTAGCGAGAATTTGTGATCCCGGACGGTACGGTAAATATCCTTTCACAAATAACCATCATCTACAGACTGGAAACTGATGACCAAATATCAAAGAAAGCGTGAGCAGATAATGTGTTGTTACCGAACTTTTGGGTTGATCGAGAGCGTTTGCCTTCAGTCGCACTACCACTTACCTTGCTTGGGGATTCACAAACGACACATCGGCTGATGTGTCTTTGGGTCTCATTGGCTTGAACAGGGTTCCACATCATTGGCTCTTCTTCCGTGCTTAACCAGTAGCTTCGGTCATTTCGTTGAGCGTAGTAGCAATTTTCTTGTTTCTCGCAGAACATGAACGGAATCGGATTAAACAGTTGCAGACAAGAACCGGGACTGGCGAGGTCATTGACGTGAGCTCTCTCGGAACCAGTCATGCTCAAAAAGGAGTAACCCTCCCACAGTTTTCGTGTTGATGACGGACAAGAAGGAATACGTGCTGTCTGGCTGTGTCTGAGTTCATACAAAGACAGGAGGCAGAAGGAATCTAATTGGTGCAGGTTTTTTATCCTATGGATACGTAACAAGCCGCTTTACTTCAAAAAATGTTTGCTCATATTAACCATTTCCCTATAACACTCCAAGTTCGATCAATTAATTCCAAGGAAGCTCGCTTGAGTAATTGTTAGTGGTAGCACTAAAACGAAGATTACAAACACTATGGAAAAAGGATATACTACGAGTTAAAGGAACTAAGGGTTGACGCGACACGTAGAACGGCATGCGTGAAATACATAAGTTCAAAAACATGTTACATCAAAGTGAAACACGCATCTATGGACTCAGCATGTGATTCTCGTTGGTACACATGTAAACCCATCTATACTGGTTTGGTAGGGGCTGGTGCCCACGATGTTCGTTTGCGTCTTATCGGCACTCAAGAGCCGAGAGACATATCCCGTGATGTAAACATTAAATTCACCATCGAGTCGTTTTAAAAAATGGGTAACGTAGGTGAAGAATTGATGAAAGTCGGAAAAGTATTCCACGGCTGCCAAATTCAGAAGGAAAATCTCGGGCGACATTCCAGCCGGCTATATTGGGTGGCCAATTCTAGCTAGTGGTCTTTCAGTTTTGTTTCCTGGTTAAGCTCCAATTGGTGACTCCAAGATGTGTGCATTCGTATGAGGTCTAATCGAGGTTTACGTCTATGGGTCAGCAGCTTAATTTCCCTTAATTAAGTACTCCTTTTGAAATCATAAAAACATGGTTTACAAATTTCCTTCCTAAAAGAGATTCGTTAACGATTTAGTCCTAACTAGGTATCGATCGCTTTGTTCAGTTAAAAACAGTAAATGAGGGCATGGAATGAAATGCGAACGATGGCTTATTCTATGCATTGCTGACTTGCTACGTGAATCTTTTAGTGAGAAAACGCGTTATTTCCAGCAAAAGTAGCGATGAAATGGTAGTCATAAGCGTAGGATAACAACTGTTACCAGGTGAGCGGGATCACATGCATCTTGTGGTGGCGGACAGTTCTCGTCTTTTAGGCAGTGAATGCAAATCTGCATCGAGTGAACTGACAGCAGCTGGCCATACTGAAGTACACCGAACTTAAAAGGTACTCAAGGCCTTTTCAAAGGACACCTCATATGGTTCTTGTTAGCCGATTTTGTGAGAATATTACGTATTAATGTTTCATCATCTTCTGTTGTGGGGTGTCAGACATTGGGAACTCGATAACTAAGTGAGAAGAAATCAGTTGTATTTTAGAAATGAAAATCGGTCAATCCGGCCTACCTAAAGCAGATAAATATTGAGTATTACCTGCTCTCAACATGACCCTCCACAATCGGTTTCGTGCTTGTTAGAACGCATCAGGCATACATAGCACACTCTGACTCGAACCCGAGACCCTTAGTGTGCTAGCTCGAGCCTCTGCCCTGAGGCGACTGGGTCGCGATGAGCCCCACTTGTCACTTCAAAGTGAAATGCGATTCTGATTGGAAGTACGTGTCCGTTCACACGATTACTTCAAAATGACCACACTAATTCATCATTAGCCAGTATGTCAAGCGTTACCCACCACGATTTAGGAGTAGACGCTTCAGTGAACATCTCAGACTCCTGCCGCAGTTCTGCTGTCTCTGTCTGATGAACGCAACCGAGTACAAAAGAGGTTGTGGATTGTGTAGTGCTTAGGCGCACAGCACCCAATATTTAAATGTATCTTCATGCAAATTGTACGGGTTAGTGATACGCAGTTTGACTATGAATTAATACAACAATATAAGTATAGAATAATAGAAATAATGAATGTCCATAACTACAAGTTTTGGAAAGAGAGCTCACACTGTAAACAAGTGTCCGATGTTGCCACGTGTGTCACCGACATCGCCGGGGATACCGGGTTCTCCGACTGGACCTCCGTCACCTTTGGGTCCTTCAGGCCCCGCATATCCTTTCTCACCTGGTCTTCCTGGGTAACCTTTTGGTCCGGTAGTTGCTGGTTCACCTTCATCCCCAGGCAGACCACGAGGACCAGGAGCTCCAGGTGAACCATGATAACCTGGCCGACCTTGCTCACCTGGTCTCCCAGGAGGTCCAGGCATCCCCTTGTCACCTTTCGCTCCAGAACTCGCAAAACCCGGTTCTCCTTTATCCCCCGGTGGACCAGGGAGACCCATATCCCCCTTCTCTCCAGGATATCCTTTTTCACCTGTCGGTCCAGAAACTCCTTTAGGCCCTTTCAGACCAGCGGCGCCCGGGCGTCCAGGGAGCCCCTTCACACCAACTTCTCCCATCTCGCCCTTCAGTCCTTGCATACCCTTGGTAAAGATAGAGCGAGAAAGATTGAGACTAACTTCGTCAACCTCTAGTGCGGTTGACACTTATTAGAAAACGGGAAGTAAGACGTTTGCAGTAAGGAGGTATTTACTATGCTACTGAATCACAAACGTTTTTACACTTGTATGTGTATGTCTTGCCTGCACGTTTTGGAAAGTAACCCCTGTTTTTCAAGCTCTCAGTCTTTGGCTAATGAGACATAACTTATTGCTCCAGCAGTCACCACTTATGTACCAGGTTGCGTAAATTCACTGAAGCAACACGTTCGATGGGACCGTGTCAATGGGATCGGCGTAGTGCCAAAATTGCATTTAACCTTGTCCAGCCTGCACACAAATTCGTCAGTTAGCTCCACCTAGCCAAGGTTACAGAACAAACGAGCTCGATTCTAAGCTACTCTCTAAATTTAGTTACCAAATATGCGCAGCGCCTTTAACACGCAGTTCCTAAAACTGATACGTCTGGTGAGAACATACGCAACACCAGTTTAGTAATTGGAAAGGACTCTCACAGTAAGAGATGACGGATTGGGGTTGATTGATGTCATCACTAAGGCAGCTCTTTCTAGGCAGCACACCCTTGTCATCCACATCTATCTAGGCTGGTGGGACTGAGCAAGCTGTGAGTGCCACCCAAAATGAGCAGAACCGCAGTTACACCATGTCTACTCAGCCTCCCCTTTTCCATGTCCCAGACCACTTTCTCTCCGACTCTGCCCATGTGGAATGTGCACCTTAAATCTCAACCACACAGTGCATTCGCTGGTTGGTGCACATATGACTGGTGCCATCCCAGGCTATCTGTATCTGGTTTCCCTACACTTACAATCATATGGCTGCACGTCTAATGTCACAAGTGAAACGCTTTTCCCCACCACGAGCAGAAATCACATCTGATATGCAGGAGCTAGACCCCACTATCCTCCTCTCCTAAATGGTCACTTTACCCTTCAATTACATTTCAATATTTCTTTTTATCACGAAAATCTGATTAATGTTGTTGACCCTACGATCCTTTGCGGATTAGAGTTCCGCGCAAAACTCGTCGACACTAAGGGCACTCGATAACTAGCACTTGGAATATCAAGTTTTATTAGATACTAAAATCATTAAAGCGAAAACAGTTAGTATGAAATTACGCTGCTTTCTTCATTGTTTCTAGGTCATCCATGTGGCTGATACTGATGTGCCATTCCTAATGACTATACACCAGTACCCAAAGTGTATCAGTTTAGCGCCTTACTCATTGATGGATCTAATGGAAAATACATGTACGATGCGTTGTACCATACAGCGATTAGAGTATAGCGTACCACCCGTTCGCCTGACGTGTTTAGTTTTGCGTTACGTGTTGTTAGTGCCGCGCTTGCTAGACGGTAACAGTTTCAGTCTACCACAGAACCTAGTAATCGAAGTTTTCTGGGTCAATAGAACAAAACATGTGAGCGTATGACCGAAAAAGGCGTACACTATAGCCGAAGTTCAATTATACTTGTCGATCTTGCTTCGGCGCAAGTTCACAATGAATACACTGATGACCGAGCAATTATTAACCCACTGTTTGTATGAATTCATCTGAATCTAGGGAGAAAATTACGCTTGACACACCGACAGAAGTATGGGTTTCAGAGTTGACAAACGTAGCCCCCAGTAGTTGCAATAACAGCCTCCGTCCGCGACCATTAACAAGGGCTGATCGAGCAACATTCTTAGCTCCACAGTCGTGTGACATGCATGAAGCATAGGTCAAAAAGTGCATATTCTTGAACTAGTTAGTATAACTGATCGATCAGGAGCTGCCGCATTTGTATATGCGAAAATAGATAAGAGAACCTTAACCCGATGATATCATGAAACATTATATTATTGGGAAAGTTAAGATCAGACTCATTTGCGCTAGACGTTTAGGTAGAATAATATTGAACAAATTTGCATATTTACAAGTTAGAGGAGGGGATTTGAATGACATCGGTTGAAATTCATTACATCTAGACTCAGCCAAACAGTCGTCGCCACTCTAGAAAAGCACTATACAGCAGTTCAGTTTGTTAGTGAATCGTCAACAGTGCGCATTCCATTTGACACTAAAGCCAGCTAGTGATGACTACAGCTGTGGCTGGCCAAACTCCTATTCGCCTCCGCTACGCCCGCGACTTGTCAACCACCCACTCTTTATTAGCTAACACCGGTGCTGAGGTCGGCGTTCTACCTAGCCGAATAGAAAAGCGCTACCTTATTCTCACCGGCATTACTCCGCAGACGGCTAAAACACTAGGATTCCATTGCCTGGCAAAAACTCCTTACACTCGATCTGGAACTCAGACGACACTTTTCCTTCGTTTTCCTAATCACAGACGTCCAGCGACCTCTCATTGGTGCTGATTTTTTCACGAGTTTCGGTCTGATAGTGAACATGAGCTGCAGGAAGCTTCGCGATGGTTCCACGTCTCTTACTATCCAAGGTAAAGTCACATCGATCGGTCTTCGATTGGCAATACCTACTGACAACGTATGAAGTGATTTGCTCCGCCATTCCAGCGCACTTCCAGACCTTTAACACAAGATTCTTCATCATGTCGTCACGAAAGGACCCTGGTCATTGGACGACATCGACGGCTGCCGTCAGACAAACTCGCCACCGCCAACGCCGAGTTCGAACACATGCTACACCTAGGAATCGTCCGACCTTCCAAAATCCTATGGTCATCTCCTCTTTACATGGTCCCTAAAATGTCGATTGGGGACTGGTGACCATGCGCAGACTACCGTGCACTGAACAACGCTACTATACGGGACAGGTACCCGATCCCGCATGTTCACGGTTTCTCCGTCGGTTTACATGGCAAATCCTTTTTTCAAAATTGATCTTATCCGAGCCTACTACCGAATTCCTGTCGTTCTGTATGAGATACCTAAAACGGTCATAACTATATCGTTTGGTCTCTACGAATTCGTCCGTATCCCTTCCGGTCTGCAAAACGCCAAGCAGACATTTCAGCGATTTATCGACCAAGTTCTCAGAGTTCTTGATTTCATCTTCACGTACATTGATGATATACTAGTAGCCAGCTGAAGTCGTGAAGAACACCTGTCTCATCGTCACTTAACTTTCCAGCGTCTCGCCCAATTTGGCACCACGATCAACGCCGAGAAATGCGTTGTTGTTTAGCCTTCTGTTAAAATGCTTGGTCAGTGAATCGATCATGGCGGTACTACCCCGTTTCCTAAAAGACACAAGCTCTTGAAGTCTATCCGATGCCAAAATCATTCAGAAGTTTACACCGTTTTCTTGGTCTAGTTAACTAGTACATCTGATTCATTCCAGAATGCTCTAGGCTCCTTCAACTATTGACAGATCTGCTCAAATGCAAGTCTCGAAAGTTTGAACCAACTGCGCAAACCATAACAGCATTTGACCAGATCAAACACGCGTTTTCAAACGCTACTGCTTTCAGTCACTTGCATATCGATGTCGACACATTTTTACTTTTCAAAACCGACGCATCTCAAACTGCTGTTGGTGCTGTGCTTCAACAAGTCATAAACGGTCAATCTGGCCACTCTTTCTTCTCTCGAAAACTACAGCCTCTTAAGAAGCGATACCGTACTTTTGGCCAAGAACTCTTAGCCATTTATCTCGCCGTTAAGCGCTTTCTCTACTTGCTTGAAGGACGTCTATTAACCATTCTCCCAGATCAAAAACCACTCTCTTTCGCTTTCCTTGATTCATCCGATCGCTTCTCACCTCGAGATACTCGTCAGTTAGATTACATATCACAGTCTACCACCGACATTCGACACACTGATGCAGCTCACAATGTTGTAACCGACGCTTCATCCCGCATTGGTCTTCACGACTTTTCACGGCAAGCAAACAACCTAAAAGACATTGCTGCCAATCAAGAAAGAGATCCTGAGTCAAAGCAGTTGAAATTAAATTCATTTATTAAAATTTCTGAACTGCCTGTTCACAACTCGGACTCCAGAAATTACCGTGATCGTTCCGCAACAATATCTGTAAGTTGTGTCTGACCACTTGCAGGAAATTTCTCATTCGAGCATCTGCGCCACTATCAAGCTGATCATGGATCGTTATATCTTGCGCACCATGCGCTCTGATACCCATCAGTGGGCGAAACACTGTTACTTATCAGAATAGCAAGGCACATCGTCACACGATTACTGTCCCTTGAATCTTTTTCGCTGCCCGACGCCCGATCCAAAAATGTCCATTTCGACATCGTTGGATCTCTACCGCCAGCCAGCAGTTTTACTTACGTGTATGTATGTATAGTTCGTTTCATACGTTGGCCACATGCCGTGCAGCTGCGAGCTGTCTCAGCCGATAGCGCGGCCCGAACTTTCATCGAAGATTGGATAGCCTTTGTTTGGCACCCCAGCCACTGTCACCAGGGATAAAGGACCCAGTTTAATTCTGCCCTGTTTTGCAATCTTAACCGCACTTTCGGCACGATAGTATATCACACGGTTTGGTACCGCGTTTTCATCACCAACTCAAGACCGCACTTGCTACGACGCAATCAAATATCCAGTGATCGGAACGTTCACTGGTTATTCTCCTCGGTATTGGGATCCATACTAAAAGTTACTAATAGTGATTCCGTTAGCTGTTCTACTTGCAGGCATCCCACTTCCAGCTACGCATTGCATTACGAATTCTATCTCATAGTACATCAAGGGATCACAGTTGAAGGTGTGCACCGGCAATGGTAGTTCACACCCTAACGACATACGGAACTTGTTAACCACTCGCTTTATTGCCAATGCTAACTCATTGTTCACTGTAAGTGTCACACTAACTTGAAAAGCAACGAGTGCTATCCATTGAACATGCACTAAGACTGTCATGTTAATGGCTGTGTTAAAGTCGTAGTGCGCATCTTGATACGTAGCCAATCGCACTAGCTGGAAGTCAGAAAGGTTTGTGCGTCATGGTCGTCAAGCTAGGGAAGTTGCCGATGTGCACTGAGTTACATGCCAGTTAGTCGTTTGAGCATATGCAACTTTGACGTTGAGTTTTAATGCGTCACTCGTTTTGAACCCGTTGGCCGTCGCGCGCAATGTATCCATCACGTGAGATTGTTTGCATAGACAAGCACCTGGTAAGTATAGTGCATGGACACTGATTACCAATTTTGATGGAATACGAACGAATAGGTACATATTTCGCCAACAGACTGTTAAGAGCGTGAAAGTGGAGCATGCTCTAACTCCTCGTCTTACATGGACCCAGCTTCATCTCATCCCTCAGCTGGTGACCTAAGTCATTAACGGTATCCTACTCGCCATGCGTTTCGCCATCACCCGAGTGACAGGATGCTCGTGACCACGTCTAGCCGGTACCCTTGTGCCACATACATGCCTCCACTTTGCTCTATACTTGGACCCGACGTCCTATTGGCTGACGGCGCCTGACCAATGGGATAGCTACATGATGGCGCGCGCAACTGATACAGGCACAGACCAACTCTCGTGAATAACAGGAATTTGAAGCCATACAGCCCAACTTGTTTACGCTACGGAATAACTTGCCTGAGAAATGGTATCGTGACTTAGTCACGTCAGCTTTTACGGACCACACTAGCCAAGTGGTCCTAAACACAGACTGCTAACAGTCGGGCTGCCGGTTCAATCCCCACAGGCGTCACATGGAATGCGCACGACACGACTATTTAAGTAATTAAATGACTGTGCAGTGCTTTTTGGGGCGGGTAACGGCTGTCTGACTGAGTCTAGATATGAATTTCAACCCATGTCAATTGAACCCCCTACTACTCAACTGTAATCGATATGCATGCCATACTACCCATAATTCCATAATTTTACTGATTGCCTGAATTTAAATTGTCATCCTTTGCCACCCTACCTCCCGCACAGCAGCGACTTCAAGTTAGTGGATAGTGAGCGCTACTAAATCATGTCTATTAATTTAGTTGTGTCTGCCGTTACCGGCACCTGTAGCGCAGTGGTTTTCACTACCTGTGTTCAACAGTCTGATTACTGGTTCTGGCTCAACATGGGCAAGATGGAGTGCACATGTATGACGATTCCACAAAGAATTAGATTTCCACACAGTCACTTTCCAAGAGTGCAACGGATGGCTGCCTGAGTTTAGATGTGATGAAATTGAAGTTATAGCTGCGTGTGTTGATAGATTTAACAGCGCAGGATATTCTTTCCTTAAATGTGCCGCTAGCTGCTACTCAGACGTCAGCGAGGTAGAACTCGCTCCAAGAAAATTAGCTGCAGGATAGTTGAACGTGAACACTCCTCAAACTTTCACTAAAGCCGGGTATATTGCAATCACAAACGTGGTGATTTTAAGACAAATCATACGTTTACATATTTACCTTTTTCCCTATTGGGCCTTCGAAGCCCTTTGGACCCGGTTCACCTTTGAATCCGGGTGGACCATCCGGGCCTGGTGGACCGGGTTCACCTGGACGTTCTGCGTACGCTCCTTTGAAGCCTTTCGGTCCACGTAAACCCATCAATCCAGGTTGACCAGACGGACCAGGAAGTCCCTTTGGTCCAGGAGCGCCAACGTATTCCGGACCGGCATCACCCATTGGACCTGTTTCACCTCGCATACCTGGTTGACCAGGTTGTCCTTTCGGCCCTGGAGGGCCCATTGGTCCAGCAGGTCCACGTTCGCCCTTCTCGCCTGTTGGAGATTGAGCGGATTCGCCACGATCTCCAGTTATGCCTCGATCACCAGTAAGACCTGAAAAAATAATCGACAGGATATCCATGTTAAAGAACTTACTAATCATATATTTAGGATGACTAAATGTTCTGTACTTAATCCGGAAAATCAGCACCTCAACTAATATTGTTTATAACTGATTACCTTTATTGTAATATAACATGTAGATGTTTATAACTGTGTATTTTATGTCTGTAAAGGTTTGAAATGAATGCTGGTCAGTGATTTGTTAAAAATGGAGAGCCTAGACTATATAGGTGGGATTATTAAAAACGAATGGCGCCATCTGAAATCCACGATGAGAGGTTCAATCCCGTACACGACAGTGTCCCTTCATATGCCACATCAGATATTTGATATAAGAATTCAATCATGGCAAATAGATGTTGAATATGAGCTGAGGTTAGGGAGGCAATCAATTGCCACTACTGAAAAACCTTTACCGTGTGCAGAACATGATGACGCAGGTTGGGTATCTCACATGAGCGATCAGACTATATTCAGAAAATGCACAAGGAAATTCAAAAGCTTCTGTCTGTTGAGTCTCCTTTCCTTGAATCTCAGGTGGAAGCGTACTTGCTGCCACATACCAATGTGGAAATTGGAACTGTTTTAACCCGGCGTGTACAACTTCCTTGATCGATTCATTACTACGCATGAGCACTGGATCCGCCACTATCAGCCCGAAGCAATAAGCAATGGAAGCACCCCACATCTCAGACACCGAATATGCCACTTTTGCTTCTTCCGCTGGGAATATGTTTGCATCTGGATCTTGGGCTGTTCGAATGTGAAGGTAGCTTTTCTTAAAAGAGATCATGTCAGCGCCGAAGACTATCACATTGACCTACTGCAGAGACTCAGACAGAAGACCCAGCGGAAGCAAGGACATGCTAGAAAGCTTATTCTGTCCCGCCATAGCAACGCCCCAGCCCACGCATCAGCAGATGCATTGTAACAATATATGATTATAGATTGCAACTAGTCCTTTATTTACCCAATTCCTCGGAGCTGGCCTTCACGGACTCCCATCTGTTTTCCAATTTGAAATAAGCTTTAGCTGGCCAGCACTTTCTATGTAATAATGTCATCATGCATGCTGTTGAAGCGTTGTTAGGATAACAACACGAAGAGCTCTTTTCCATATGGATAAAGGCGCTTCAGCACCTCTAGGCACAAGTTTGTTGATCTTCAGAGGATTGCGGTGAAAATAATAATAATAATAATATAATAGTAATAATGACTAAAAAGTCTTAATCCTAATTCGGTTCTTTCATGCTCAAAAGTTTCAGTCATTCTACGTCACTTGAGTATTCTTCAGGAAGCCAGTTGGAACCTCGAACACAGGACGTGTGCCAACATATTTTGCATTACTGCATGTCTCATGAATATCGTGGGTCATTCGCTAAATTAAATTATTAGTCGGAATGAAGTTCACATACAGTGGGGTTACAAAAACGACAAAAAGGACAAATAAATTTGTCTTGAGAAAGATGCTGTATATCGCAGCGGTTCCCTAACAGTTACCTTCCGGTCCAGTTGCTCCTTTTGCACCTGGAACACCCTTTTGGCCTTTGAGCCCGGGGAAACCATCGGGTCCACGTGGTCCTATTGGCCCAGGTTGGCCTTTGAATCCAGGTAGTCCATCACGCCCCGGTGGGCCCTGGGGTCCTGGTTTTCCTTTCGGGCCTGGGGGACCAACGATTCCTTTAGGTCCGAGGGCACCCTTTGGACCGGGTATTCCTTGTATGCCTGGTTCCCCTTTCTCGCCCTTGAGCCCAGCATGTGGAATTGCGTCCATTGTCCCAGGGACACCTTTTTCACCTTTCTCACCCTAAAAGGCGTCAAACGGAAAATGGCACCTGTTGTTCACTCAGTATTCTCTTATGACGAAGTAACTAACTCATCATAATTCTAGCGTCATACTGTCTTTACTTAAATCCTTAATAAATAAGTTTTGCTTGAGGCCCCTTTGCTTTATGATCAAGAATAGCAGTGGTGCTATAGTATGGCCCTTCGAGGTTAATCTGGGTAGGATCATCTGACACATCTGATTTTATGAGGGGAAACAGTCAAAGCAAGTACTCTTAAACACTCACGCTTGGCCCAGGCAATCCGGTCGGACCCCTGGGACCGGGTTCTCCGGGCTCACCAACCGTGCCACTTCGCCCGGGCCTTCCAACGGATCCTGGGAGGCCTGGCTCCCCTTTTTCGCCCATGGGTCCAGGACCACCAGTGTCACCGCGTTCACCGTCTATTCCATCCAATCCGGGGAGACCTTTGGGTCCTACTGGTGCCTGGGTGCCCTTCACACCCTTTTCTCCTTTATGTCCCTTCATGCCAGTACCTTCAGGGCCTGGAAGTCCTTTGGGTCCAGGCGCACCTGGATCACCTCGAATTCCTTTTTGGCCCCTTTCACCTGAAACACAACGACCTCAGAGTTTCAAACCGCCTGCTGCAATAGTTAAAAGTCTTGGGGTTTTCAAGGACTGATATGTCAAAATTACGAGGTTTCGTGTTGTAGTATTGGAGTGAAATATCTGAGTAGATCCTGAAACACTGGAGAGCTACCCACTAAATGAAAATCGAAGTCATTTTATACAACGATTTCCTTTCACAATTTGCAAAATGTTTCTTCTTACCCTTTTGAATTCATTTTAGTTGGACAAAGCAACGGATCCTGGCTGAGTTTGCAAATAACACAAATAATGACCACACGAATTACTGAAGGCAAGCGTTGGAAGCTCTATCGCGACTTACCGGCTAATTCAGTATTGCGTTTACTGAGTTGACGCAGTTCTGTGGGATGCTTGCTGGAAACGTCCAGCAGTATGAAGAATCACAATGGTATTATGCCTACTGTTTTGTAATTGGCATGTGTGACCGCATATGGAATATGGACCGAGACTCAATCAACAAAGGACCAAATTGCATATCAAAGTGAAAATTTCATCCGTTGTCGGGTGTCTAGATGGAATAAATTTCCTCCTGCGTTACCGGAAAGGTACTCGGTCTGAGCCAGCAAAATGGGTCCTAAATAGAAATGGCTTAAATATGTTCACGAAATCAAGGTTGTTGGAAACGGTAGCTAAATGGTCTGCACTCGGGAGATGATAACTTATGTCTCGGAGACAACAAAGAATATTAATTGTTGCGCCTGTCTCTTTGTAGAGACGCTATTCTAACAGATATATGCCAGTACCCTGGCTTATTTACTCACATGCGAGGCTGAAAGTTCGTTAGGTGAAGGTTTGTATCAAGCCTAGAATTGAGCAACGGTGTACAGTTTCCCACCAAAAAAGAAAAATTAAGTCTGAGTCGAAATCAAAAGCTATTACTCATGGACTAAAGGCTACCTTATACTGCACACGAAATTGAATCAATAAGTATTGCATCGCACTTCCAAGCGTAAAAAAGCTTTGAGAGAACAGCTTGGTGTTATCGACGCAACCAGGAGATGTGATTTTGAGATCATTGATGCTCGTAATCGAAGTAGGTCTGTGGGTACTCATGCTTAAGCATTTCATATGCCGGCCATCTGCACAGACGGAACCTGGGTTGACCGATCTCGCCACAAATATAATGAACAGAAACTGAAAAAGGTCTGTTGTATTCGTGTGCTCTCAATTTCCTTGTCTACGAATAGGGGTATAGCAATTTATAACTTATCCTGTCTTTAAATCACGGCCTACTTTATCTTAACAAATCCTGAACATTTAATTCTATGTCACTGCTTCTTTTGATTATTCAGAAACGTGTCTACATACCTATTATTGTAGTTCCGCAAATTCATCCCACCAGTGACATTATCTTAAGCAATTTCTAAGCATGCTTTTGTAATTACACTTCTTAATGTACCGTAGTGTTATATTAACATTGTTCACAAACACCGTACCCCGAAAACTAAGATAAGGTATGGTACATGCAAAAACATGGATGTTAAGGCTGAACGTAGGGCTGCCGCATTGGCTAATATAATCCGAATGGAATGTTCTATGTTAAAAGCGAATTGCAATTTGTCAAGTTTCCTTCAAAGAGAAACGGTAAATAACGATCTGACACATTATAATGAAGTGTTTAAAAATCTACATGCAAGAGTCAACCCCTCGCATGTCATACAATGACGATGTTACTAAAACCAGATTCAGAAAAATAAATAAAGCGTCTTCCTGGGTCTGGTGCTCATCAGTGATGAGCTCAAAATTGGTGTGCTAGGTGCGTGCAGTCCTTTGTGTCGTAGTGATTATGTGCTTCTACTGTTCGACTATAATTGCTGCACCGATTGTCTCAGCGGAAAACCCGAACGGGTGCATTCTGTTACACGCTACGATGTACTATCCCCATTCTTTGAAGAAACGCGACAGACATCCATGAATGAGTACAGCCTGGATATGATTTGGGAAACATCTTCAAAAACCTTCACCCCGGTAGCTGTGAAACAATTTGCTCAGTAGCTTGTAAATGAGCTTTCAAACCGATGTACTTTTCGAGAGGCGGCACACGAATTTACAGTGGCTCTTCCAGTCCAGAAATCTGGATTGTGCACGTAGCTCGACGCAACTACTGTGTGCAGTTGGTTCGTGAAGACAAGCTGTGTTCCAACCACAAACATTTTATAAACATGTTGATTGTCTTCATAAAGTACAGCACGGAATCGCTACGGTTGGTGGGTCTACATATACCGCCAACTGGTTAGGAGTCCACTACTCACTTACCTCCCTGGGTATAACCAGGTTCGAAAGCATCCCCTATTTTTATTACTCAGCCATCAGATTTAATCGGTGTTACTTTCAGTGCTGCTATCCAGGCGCACGCATACAGCTCTTCTGGAATGAATTATGATCCCCAGAAAGTTCTGCAGGTAGCAGTCAGGCACTTGGCCGAACCCGTTGCCAGATGCTTTCACCGCTGCTGAGACGAGAATACAGTTTCATCCAAGCAGAAGCTGGGTATTATCACCCTATTCACAGGAGAGGGAATAGATCTGAACCTGCTAATTACCGCCCCGTAACGATTCGCCTTGAGTTCGCTAACGTCATGGTGCCGGTGTCGTCGATCCAAAGAAGCAGGAATTTCATCGACATCGGTCAAGTACCACGAACTTGCTAATTGCACTGGAAAATGAGTTACACTACTTGACTATGGTATAGGACTAGTCATCAGGCCAAATTTTCAAAAGCCTTCGATTGCACGCAATATCATATTCTACAAGCTTCAGCATAACGGCATTGGTGATCCAGTATTAGGAAGGATCGATGACTTTTCGCGGAAAGCAATTGGAGATTAAAGTCCGAAAAGCTTTACCCGATCCACTTCGAGTCGAGTGCAGCGTACCGCAAAGTTCAACATATGGACGTTGCTTGTCCCTAGTCATCAGTAACGAGATAACAAGAGCTATTATCACCAAGATTTTATTCTTTCTGAACTATCTTAAAAGTTGACGCGGGATTAAGGGAGTGGATGGTTGCAAGATCCTCCAGCGCCACCTTGATAAGGCCTCGAATTGCTCAGAGAGCGAAGCCGTGTCATTCAATGCAAACACTTGGCGAGATTCCCACATTCTCCACCGACACCCTTGTTTATAACGGACGAGCTGCAGACTATCGGTGTGCTTGTATTTGGTGACCTCGGTTGTTCCAAACAGATTCAAAAAGCAATAACCAGAATGTTGGTCTATCGCAGAATAATTGTAGGAGTTAAGATAATTTCATCTCCTCCCTGATGCTCAATGCCCACATGCGCGCCTTCGTCGAATACCCTTTGCAAGCTTGGCGGCATTAGTAGTAGCGTGTCTTGTAGCTCTTGAGACCCCACAATATCGGAGAACGAAAAATGTCAAGGATTTTTGGCGCACCCTGAACCAAGAAGAGCTGAAGAAACCCGGAATATTTAGTGTGCGCTATCATTTGCTACGCGCAGACGTCATGATGTAATTCCATGCACTCAGCGACCAAAATATTGTACGTCACCACTTTCTGAATCCCAACCATAACATTTAACTGAAAAGTGATCGCATTAAAGTGAGTTAAACATGCATTTGAATTATCGATGGAGTTAGTCTTTCCTTCGTATAACAAAACCTGAAGCGTTCATCTAAACTTACCTATTTATACCCCGCCCTAATAAGCTTTCAAGAAACGGTTCGCTGCTTCTTGTTACATGTACATCTTACTCTAGGATGCACCCCGTTGACAATTAATTTGAATCCTAATCCGCGCTGATTCACGGATATATATGCATGCAGGTGGGCCATCCGATGTTTCATGAAAAATGTCTTTAGCTATGATAACTTGTTTCGCCGTTTGCATGATACTATGGCGTTTTTCACAATCTTCTTTCTAACATGTCAGTCATCCTGTCGTCTCAATGATGTGTAATACAGCTGATTCGCATCTATGCGTTGCTGCCCATCACAAACGATTGTTCCATTGTTGTTACCTGGGACAAATTTTCCGTGTTAGCTTGGTGTACGGCGTCGCTTTAACCCCAGTTGCACTATGCTTCAACAAGCATTACGTGGCAGTGACCTTGCAAAATGCGTCTACCGTATACATAGAATATGTCCATGGAGATGTAAGCATTCAATGGAATGAAGAAATTTATTTTCGATAACTCTCATCAGGCGAATACAGATATAAAACGGGTTAGTGCATTGCAATAGGCTGTATAAGCTCGGCTAGAGTTGGCCAATTTCAAACAGGCTGCATTTTTCGTCGATCAGACTCTCCAATCGATGTTGGTAGTCACGTAAAGGCACGCGTACATATGCACACAAAACACGACGGTTCGTCCGCCCGGTTGGCTGACAATGACAACTGATTCACCGCCTGTGAACTGGTGAACAGTGCCCACAAGGGAATCATGGCCACGGCAGCAGAAGCGTTTGCACTAGCGTCCTCTGGTTGCACAGTTCGGGTTTCATTTGTCTGATCACAATAGACTCGGCCGTTCATAGTGGGCGTTTCTAAGTCCTTTTGACACGATGAGGGAAACTTTGAAGGCTTCCTTAAGCACCTAGTCCAAAGTGGGCAGCAAGTTGTAAGCAAGGAAGCCTTCAAAGTTTCTCGCATCGTATCAGGCGGCTACACAACAGGACTAACCCGTTTTATATCTGTATTCGCTTGATGAGAATTGTTGAAAAGAAATTTCTTCGTTCAATTAAATGCGCAGGGTAATTCTTTATGCCGTAAACCAAACACCTTGCCTAGTGCTTGCAGATGCTTTTTCGCTTCAGTGGAAAGAAGTGCTGGTTATTATGAAACGTGTAACCTAATACCAGCCTAATGCTCGCCATACAGTGCACTTCAATACCTATAGAAATACGATGATAGTTGTCGAAGAGGTGGTGCCAGAAGTCTTGCCTTCAAACCCCATTCGCAGGCCAATACATGAGGTTTAACCTCCCATATTTACGCAATGTTCCGATTCGAGTTCTTTAAGCATCTAAGAGCTGTTGCAAACTTTAAAGAAACCATACTGGTCATCCCCTTAGACACGTAGAGAACTTCTGGCTGCGAGTTTCACTGAAATGCTCACTTTAAACTGAGGTTATTTCCCATCACAGAAGGATTACTTCTGTTGATCTTGACCAATCCGTCGGAGCGAACGCATTCTCCAGGCTGGCACACACATTTCCTTCTCAAAGATTTAATAGCAATGCCGTCAAACAAAGAATCGTTGTGAACCCGTCCTTGTTTCTTTCATGTATTGATTACTTGTACTTAACGATGACATCATTGTTAGTTGGTCCTTGCATATAGAAGCATCTCGTCTTATGGCTAAGACAATGGAGCAAAGTTAGATGTGATGGATTTTTGCTCTGATGGGTGCTAGCGGATTGCATCAGCCAGTTCATTCAGCGTCTTCGTGCATAAGTACGCTTTTCATCTCCAGTATCACACTCTGCAACCCTTTCTTTCACAACGATAATTTCTGTTCAAGGTGACACTTGATCCTTTATCATCTATCGACATGGGAGAGCAACATACCTCATTTACAGGAGATGCTGCCACAAAAATAGCGTCAGACTTTTGCGGATCGGAGGTTTCGAGTTGGATTTAGTGCACATGCATAAAGGATATCATAACTCGGTCCAATTCGACAGTGACAAGCTGCATCCTTCATGCGAACAGATAGCATCAGAAATAGGACAGATTTCATTTAACAAGAATACACTCGGATGATACACCGTTATGACTCCCCGACGACTCGATTATATTCAAATATCGTCAACAGACATCCCGTTTATGAGGTCATGATGGTCGTAAAATGTTTCCAGAAACGGCTATTATGAACGATATATTTAGGTATAATGTCGAGGTTGACAAGATGTTTAAAGACGGTCCAGACAACAACGCTGATAAAACGGCTTCAAGAATAATAAACAATCGAATCATTGAATATGCCTCAGTGCGAAATGAAGGAAATAAAACGACGAAATACCTATGTGGCTCAAAGGAAAAGTCGAAAACTGGCTGTATGATGATTGTGTGGTAATTGTCATGAGAGTGAAGTGAGACAGAGAATCGGAAGCAGGACTTACGGAAACGGTATAAAAGGAGTATAGTCGATTAATCACTCGACTCTATGAAGCGACGGCTCGGCTAGTAACGCACACACAAGCGTCTGTCCGTGCCTTCAGCCCGCCTGTTTTGCACTCACTAAGAACCGTCTCTGTTCTCTGCCTAATTCTTTCCAAGTGTTGAACCATACGAGGTCGAAGACTATCAGCGTTAAAATTACTGACAAATTCTCTATGGTGGCGGTAGTCGGAATTGCAGTCATGGCCTATGGGTAGTTGTGGCACTCTTTTCCCGTTGTGTTGGCCATATCAGTCACTGGCATCTGGGAAATATGCTGCTAGTGTATATTAAGGATAGGGATCAAATATCCATCATCAAACCCTTAAACAAATTGTCGTTTTTTCAGTAAACCCCAGGCCTACCACATCGAGCAACATCTTGTAGATTTCCCCTTAACCAAATGCTAGGTAATATTGATGTCACCCATACACATAGACGATCAGTGCGAAATGTTAAGCGGCAAACTGAAATCACTTGGCTGGACCATAAGCGCTCGCACAATCAGCTCCGCAACTGGACTTCTTTCACACTTATAGCATGCGCCACGCACTTGTCCTTCCCTTGCCTAATTCCGCATGCTGACAATGGCGTCCTAATAGCCGAGACATGAGTGCGTTTTATATGTTATCAATGAAAAGTTATCTCGGCACTATTTTTCAATCTGAATAACATTATATGACGGAAATCGAGAGTGAATGTAATGCGGAGAATCTAGCAATACCAATCATTATCTGTGCTACAGCTAGGTGGTCTCTTTCGGTTGCTCGCTCTACGCAATTGGCCGAATCGCCGCGCTCTGTGCTTCTTTCTCTACATACTTCATAAATTTGTGGTTTTACGTCTTCTATAATGTAAAGTGACATCTAAAATTTCCGCGGTGGCCTACCTTCCCGCGGCTCCAGCAAGCCCAGTTGTTATTACTGATAACATTACATAAAATATACGCCTACCTACGAGTACTTATTAAATGCTTGATAGTCTTCACAACTAGTGCCATGTATTTTCATGAGTGCCTAAGGAACATTCTATCCCTTCCTAGTGCTCCTCAAGTATCATGAATCAGAACCCAGTAAGTATTTGTTACAGCGCCACAATGTACACGCTTTTGGAAATTCTACTCCAGATATAGTGATGCCACACCTTCGGACTATCAGTGGACACACCAATGACCCAACTCGCTTTATTCAATGTATGCTTAAAACTCTGTGCCTCACATAGTATTGACAAGTATTCGCCACAATTTTGAAGTTGATATTTCTGGTATTATTATTAGTATTGAATATATACTAAGCGGTAGTTGCGGGTTAAAATATAGTGACCGGGGAAATGGAACTGGCTCATCGATGTTCTTACCTTTGAGTCCCGTACTGCCTTTTTCTCCTTTAATATACTGACCGATCTGTCCTGGTGGTCCTGGGTAACCCTTTGCTCCCGGAGGCCCATGAATACCTTTCAGCCCTTGAGGTCCAGGTGGTCCCTGTGGGCCAGCATCCCCAGGTTCCCCGCGAGGACCTTCAAGGCCATCGTCACCCATCGGCCCGGGTTGTCCTTTAGGACCTGGTCTACCTGGTAATCCAGGTTCCCCTTTCCTTCCGGGTTGACCTTCAGTCCCTGGTAAGCCTGGTGGTCCTGGTGGGCCTGTGTTACCTGGTGGACCCTCTGGGCCCATCGCTCCCATTGGTCCCTGAGGTCCAGGCAGTCCTCTTGGTCCTTTCATATCCGGGGTCGGTGTTACGTCTTGTCCTCTGTCACCTTTTGGTCCGTCTGGCCCTGGAGCTCCAATTTCACCTTTAGGCCCTTTTTCGCCTTTTTGTCCCTGCAGAATATCACCAGGTTCGCCCGGTTCCCCTTTCGATCCACGATCACCTATTTCACCCTTTGGCCCAGTAACACCTGGCATTCCATCCGGACCACGGTCCCCTTTTGCACCAGCTCTTCCGGGAAGTCCCTTCCGCCCAGGAGCACCAGGTATGCCCGGTTCCCCCGGTTGTCCGGCGGGCCCTTTACTATAACTTCCTGGGAAACCCTGGGCTCCACGTTCTCCTTGATCTCCGATTGGCCCGGGAAAGCCTTTCATCCCGAGAGGTCCTTTCGCTCCCTTACGCCCTTCTGTACCGTCATAGCCAGGCTGGCCTTTAATTCCTTTCGGTCCTGGATACCCTTTATCTCCAACTTCCCCAGGAAATCCGGCTGAGCCTGGTGCTCCGCGCTTCCCTTGTTTACCGGGTATACCTGCCAGACCTTTTTCACCCTCACGACCTGTTAAAGAATGGAAGAAATAAATACATTCATTGCATATACGCTGATGGTCGATGGTATAAGGATGTTGAGTGCAGTTGATCAAGTAAAACCTTTTTTATCTGGTGAGGTTAAACGAACCTTGTTCTCCGGGAAACCCAGATAGACCTTTGTCTCCTGGGAATCCTTTAGGGCCACGCTCTCCCTTGATGTATTCGAACAATTGGTCAATCACGCTGTCCAGACCTAAGAATAAATTAAGTGGGTAACTGATACAGAATACGAGGCAAAATGGGGGCAGCAAAGCCAGTTGATGAGCAATAAATGGAAGAAAAGCGACAGCTCGTCGATCAATCTGCCAAAATCCTGGGAGAAAGGTTAGCTTCGGATTCTTTAGATATCATGATTACAAGCATCAATACGATGATATGCAGTGCCCTTAAACAAGTGCCTAGTATACATGTATATTAATTGTCTAGGGAGGGTAGCTATGGCCAGTTGGACGTTGATCGCTAGTCTACACTTGTCACTATGCCTCGCTTTGCCACATACAATTAAGTTTAGCCGCAGCATGGCCAAACCGTTTATTCTTTGAAGTTACTTCAGGGAAGCTAGCTTTCTACTCATTCAGCTCTCCTACACCGCATCTGCAAGAAAGTTGAGGAAAATGGAAGATTTACTCGTGCACAAAAACTGGCAAGTTATTACCATCAAGACCATAATGAGAGCTTGAGTAAACTTTGATTATGCGACAATTACCGCCATAAGCAGATGGATGCGATTATAAAATTTTAACGCACCTGATTGCTTAGACATCACAAAGGATTCCGGAAGTCGGTACGTGTGCTAAAAGAGCCTGGCTGTGAGTCACTCTATCAGTAAAACAGCCAAGCCTAAAGCATCACAAACGAACCCCCACTGAGGTGAGGAAAGCTGTGTTAGTGGTGTACGAATTGTTGTGTCTAATTCCATCTCGAAAGCGCTCACATAGCTCTGGGTGAGGCAAAGAAACGCACTAGCATTACTCATTTCGTATAGATCAGCAAAGATGGTGGGGATAATTCAGTTGTCTGATAAATACCAGTCCTGGCCCAGATGTGCGACAGACTGCCAGAGATTGTATAGTAAGCAGCCGCCTTACGAGGTCTTCCATAGGAACCAGACTAATCATTGCTTCGAACTTGCAGCCCAGTATCAAATGCCCATTTGGAACAGAGCAGCTAGGCCAGCCGTAAGAGCAATGATCAAGCGTTTGGACACCCGGACTCCGCTGAGTCCTAACCAGAAGTGAGGGGCGGCTACTAAAGATGCGTCTGTATTGGATGAGCGTCCCACAAAACGGAACGTATCCAGCTAGTTTGGAAAAATACCCGTACATTTATTTACCAAAGCCCGGCGGTATATCCAATAATGCTAAAGGAACAATAATTTACGTTTCTATTGTCTCCACCCACATAACTGAAAGCACTTTGCTCCTACCATCGAGAACAGTTAAAGTAGGGGAAGTCAGTTCTGATAATACTGCTACAGAACCTAGGATGTGATGTGATGTCCCACTGAAGAAAGCAACTAAACAGTCTTCCAAAAATCAATACAGTAAACAATACCATAATTCTCTGACTGCCATATACTCCAAAGTGTCTGCATCTGAGGCGAACTTGGACAAAGACAATCGGTTAGACGACCGGGCACAATGAAACTCCATGTGTCAAAGAATGGGAGTTCAAGTTAGATCGGCTAGCATGATGTGCCCCGTACGGCATCTAAACGCGGTACACTATGGTTAACCATGGTAACTCCAAGTAAAGCTTCATACTGGAAATGACGCAGTGGCCATCTTCCTGTCAAAGGCTCGTCTCCTAACTACCCATCCATATTTCGCATTTTCCATATGTTTCTCGGGGCGAACGTCAGAAGCTAAAGCAAAACCCAGATGACAACAGGAAACAAAATGGCACAAGATCGATCCTTATCCACAGTGTCTCCGAGCTTCAAACGAAAAGCGAGCTCGAGGTTAAACACATGATTGGGAGTACTGGCGCTTCGGCCGTGAAGTGCAACTCCCGAAAAAGAAATCGTCAATTCGACCTCAAGGTTACAAATATCATCCAAACACATGGGGTCATGCTCACAGATGATGAAGTTACACTGCCATCCTAACCAGGGCAGAAAAGATGTTGGAAATGGTTCTATGGAAAAAGTGGACACGAAGTAGGGCACACGAAACACGCCCACAGTAAACTGCGCACACAGAAGAAAGCGCGCACGAAAATTTGGACACACGGAAATATGCCAGTTCGATTGTGTGACACATACTCGACTGTTCTATTTGCCTAAGCTCCGATGATCGATTCAGAATATTCAGCAAATGGTGCCCTTATCACTTGCGATTCGACAAGAAGGAGGTTGGTGACCGCATCTCGCAAAGTGAGAGCTTGGCATGAATCAAATTGAGTCATTGCTAGGATCTGACGAATGGTACTGCGCATGGAAAATAGGATCAGTTTAGAGATTTGCCCGGTTTACTTGAGCATAATGTTCAAAGTTGAAATCTAACTACATTCTTCTATGGTACCATTAAGCGACAGATGCGAGACTTCGCGTCTAGGTTCAAGTTCTTTGACTGAACCGAAAAACGCCCATGGCCGGATCTTACGCACATCGGTGACGTGCGCTGTTAATCCCGCTTCCCTAGCTAGTACGGTTCACCGGTGTTATAATCTAGTGGATCGTTCTTGTATACGTACAGGAAAAGCGAGTCACTTCACGATTCCGTTCCTCTGGACTGACCTCTGGACCTGTCCCTTTGTAATGATCGCGTAGGAAACTGTTACTTTTACATTTTGTGTCACACAAATCATTGTTAAGGCGGCATTCGTGTTAGCAATATTTGGTTATATGACACAAAGTTTTAAAGTATACAATAAGTGTTTACATTTAATCTTATGAGCAATGCTTGCCGATCTTCGTAACTAATTAACTCGAAGTTTGTACCCCAGTGATACCAAGAATATACATTATTGCATATTTGCCAGTCTTTGCAAGTATTTCACTTTGCCTGCCGTCTGCTTCTAATCACTGACACAACAGTTGACCGCGAGTTGCAGCGAATCATATTTACTTTTCTTCAACACTAGGCAACCTGGCTGTGCATTAGCCAGCGCTAGTCTGTGACATGCCTCGTCCTTCTGTAATCCAGCAAACATAGACCAGATGTTATAATGAGTATAGTGAAATAAGGAGTTCAAGGCATTGTGGAATCCCTGACAACAGTTTGTAGTTTTCGGTGACATCTAAAGAGCTTCATCATGGTGGTTCCGTTTGAAATGGAATCTGTGGTTCTCTGTCTGCTGCACCAACAATGTAGGTAGAGATGAAGTATGTTAGCATTGCAGTATAAGATTCTTCATTTAGAAATGTCGTGATATTCATCAAAATCAGTTTTTACCTCACGGACCGGGATAAAAGTTAACGTAACCAGAGAGTTGAGCTGCAGTTTCATGTTTAAATCTGCTTCAAAGGCAGTTATTAGGTCCTTGTTGCTCATTTTCCTGATAAGGCTTTGGCGCATGTAGTAATAACGGCCTCTGATTTCAGAGTCTGGAAAAGTAATCCTCGCTGTGTTCATAGAAGACTTCTCAAAATCTAGTAAAATTTCCTTAGGCATCAAATCAGGCAGCAACCATCTCATTATTTCAAACATTCTAGTGTAGGTCTCGGTATTTTTTTCTGCCACGACATAGAAATACAAGGCGAGTAACCGTTACCCACTTTGGTGTGCCAGGTATAGAGTTGATAAAACATAGTGGGAAATTTATCAAAAGTCCGGTCTCCGTAGATTGTGTCTACTCAATGCACGTAGCAGTTCTTTATCACCTAATGCAAGAATTCCGTCTGGATTATGGACACCTGAATTATGAAGCAGCAGTTCGTAGTACTGCTCAGGGATATCAAAATGTATGGTTTTTGGATAAGATTAATGTCAGGTATTTCCGTGATTCAAAAGTGTTCTCGCAAGGGATGATTGCTTAGGCATATGGACCGTTACTTCCTTACTCAAGGCTGGCAACACTTTCCCATTATGGTGCGAGGTGTAGCACTAACTAATCTCATGTCTAGCGTCATTTTAAGTTCGGCAGCATATGCTTTTGCATTTTGAGGATATGAGTTGCGACAGTGCGCGGTCGGTTGTTGTAAGATAATATGGTCTCGTGTCTTCCTCAGTGTGTGATGCTGCATTTATCGATTGTGCCTGCATCTCCGACTAACAATTCCATCCCGAGTGAGTAAAGTAAGGTATTCAAACCACATGTAAGTCAAAACTAGGTTGCCCTTCTGGCTTATTGAATACTCCATTGATAACTCTTCAAAAAATAGCAATAGGTACATTCGCACCGAGGCTCCTCTACGCTACTTTACAAGACTGCATGTCAGGCAACTACGCACTGATGACGTCTGTCACGTACGCGAATGACTTCGATCCATTTATTCCAGCCGTGCGCGGATTGACTACCACTCACACCAGCTAGCCAATCATCTGACACAAACACACCCGGTCTCGCTGAGCGTTTCCGTGACTCTTGTACCTTCTCAATTGATTGATAAACCCCCTGCTGTGCAGACGTCTTCTGCTTGCTGGGATTATGTGTCTCGGAAGCGTGTGTTACATGCGCAGTGGTATTACGTTTTAGTGGCGACGAAAATGGCGAACCCAGTGTTGAATACACCTCCTATATTTTGGTCATCTGCTGAGGAAAAACCGACCTTATCGAACTGGATAACTATGTGGAATTACTTCCTGTACTGAATCCGACCGTTTATCTTTCTGAGGCTAATAAAATCACACTATTCAGGCAAGTGCTTGGCGATGAAGGTCAACGGCACTACGATGCCCTACAACTGGAAAACTATGCCACCCTCAGTTCTGCTTTGGATACTTATACCACGTTATGGGGGCTGAAACGAAATATTTACACTGCTAGATACTGCTTTTTAAAACTTGTCCAAAAGCCGAACGAAAGCGTCGATGATTTTATTGCACATATTCACCAATCTATTCTTGATTGTAAGTATAATGATATTCCACCTGGAAAAATTGAAGAGCAAGTGAAAATTCAATGTTTAGTCGCGGGAATATCGGACGAAAGTGCTAGAGAGAAGTTGTTATCCTTGGATGATTCGGACACCACTTTGGAAAACGTTTGTCTCATCGTTCACCAGCGAGAGAACATTACACGCCAATTACG